CAGTACACGTGACATTTCACCTGTCAGAACTCGTGACATTTCACCTGTCAGTACACATGACATTTCACCTGTCAATACACATGACATTTCACCTGTCAATACATGACATTTTACCTGTCAGTACACATGACATTTCACCTGTCAATACATGACATTTCACCTGTCAATACTCATGACATTTCACCTGTCAATACACGTGACATTTCACCTGTCAATACTCATGACATTTCACCTGTCAATACATATGACATTTCACCTTTCAATACATATGACATTTCATCTGTCAATACATGTGACATTTTACCTGTCAGTACACATGACATTTCACCTGTCAGAACTCGTGACATTTCACCTGTCAGTACATATGACATTTCACCTGTCAATACACGTGACATTTCACCTGTCAATACACGTGACATTTCACCGGTCAGTACACGTGACATTTCACCTCTCAGTACATATGGCATTTCACCTGTCAATACACGTGACATTTCACCTGTCAGTACACGTGACATTTCAACCTGTCAGTACACGTGACATTTCAACCTGTCAGTACACGTGACATTTCACCTGTCAGTACACGTGACATTTCACTTGTCAGTACACGTGACATTTCACTTGTCAGTACACGTGACATTTCACTTGTCAGTACACGTGATATTTCACCTGTCAGTACGCGTGATATTTCGCCGGTCAGTACGAGTGACATTTCACCTGTCAATACACATGACATTTCACCGGTCAGTACACGTGACATTTCATCTGTCAGTACACGTGACATTTCACCTCTCAGTACACGTGGCATTTCACCTGTCAGTACACGTGACATTTCATCGGTCAATACGCGTGACATTTCACCTGTCAGTACACGTGACATTTCACCTGTCAGTACACGTGATATTTCACCTGTCAATACACATGACATTTCACCTGTCAATACACGTGACATTTCACCTGTCAATACTCGTGACATTTCACCTGTCAGTACACATGACATTTCACCTGTCAGTACA